TAGACTCGGGAGCCGATGTGACTTGCGTGGCAGTAAATCTGATTCCAGAAAATCTTTTAAAAAAATTAAAAGCTCTGGAGGATGTCATATCGGGTCCAGATGGTCGACCTTTACATGTAATCGGCACTTTAAAGTTGGAAATCACTTATCGAGATAATAAATCTCAACTTCAAGTATATGTTTTAAAAAATTTACAAACTCCTATTTTAGGCAGATCAGGAATAGTCGATCTAGAGATCTTAAAATTCACAGGGCAAGTGAGTCTTCAAGAGATATTACCAGATGAGAAAACAAAAATAGATGTAATCTCTGAATTTCCTAACTTGCTTAACGGTCTGGAGGAATTCAAGGGAGAAATTGAAATTCAAATTAAGGAGGGAGCAAAACCGTTTGTTCAGGCAGCTCCTAGGGGAGTACCTTTACCACTTTGACCTAAATTAAAATCCGAACTTAAATGACTTCAGTCTTTGGGCATAATTGTATCAGTTGACGAACCAACTGCACGGGTTTAGCCCATTGTTGTAGTCCCCAAAGGGAAGGGGGTTCGCTTGTGTTGCGATTATAGAAGACTAAATGAGAGCGTTTTGAGATCGCATTTTCCAATCGATAAAGTCGAGACTACTTTACCTAAATTGGCGGGATCACGCTATTTTTCTAAATTAGATGCAAATAATGGGTTTTATCAAATCAAAATTAAAAGAGAGTGCCAAGTTTTAACAACTTTTATTACACCTTTTGGCAAATTCAAATATACTCGTTTACCTTTTGTAATTAGTTGCGCTCCTGAATACTTTAGCTTGAAAATTAACAAAATTTTATCGGGAATAAAAGGCGTTGTTCAGCATATCGATGATATTTTGATTTATGCGAGTACAATGGCAGAACACGATAAGATATTGAGACAGATCTTGACAAAGCTTGCTAGCGAGGGAGTTACGTTGAATAAAAGTAAATGTTTCTTTGGGGTTTCAAGAATAAATTTTTTGGGTCACTGGATTTCTGAAAAAGGAATAGAAATTGAACATTCTAGAGTGGAAGCTATTTCAAAATTTCCTGAATCGACTTGCAAACGTGAATTACAACAATGGCTGGGGATGGTCAATTTCGCAGGTAGATTCATTGCAAATAAATCGGAAATTTTAGCTCCTTTAAATGAATTACTAAAAAATAACATAATCTTCACTTGGAAATCAATGCAAAAAGAGGCTTTTCAGAAAATAAGATCTCTACTGAAACAGGCACCTTGTTTAGTTTTTTACGATCCAAATAAAAAGATAATAGTCAGTTCAGATTCAAGATCATATGGCTTAGGTGCAGTACTTTTTCAGACTGACGACTCGGGAAATAAAGATATTGTGGCATATGCATCCAGAACTCTTACGCAGAGTGAGGAACGCTATGCGCAAATTGAAAAAGAATGCTTGGGATTAACTTGGGCATGTGAGAAATTTATGGAGTATATTTTGGGACTTCCAAAAATATATTTAGAAACAGAGCACAAACCGTTAATTCAGATTTTGTCTACAAAAAATTTAGACGATCTAACCCCCCGATTACAGCGTTTCAGGATTCGATTAATGCGATATACTTATAGTGTTATCTATACACCGAGTAAAGATTTGACTGTGCCTGATGCGTTAAGTCGCAATCCTCTGAAGTATACCGAACCAGATGAGTTGCGAAGTGAAGTCGAGACACATGTTTCTATGATAATAAAAAATTTACTAATTAAAGACAAATTTTTAAAACTTATCGCGGAGGAACAAAGGAAAGATCCAGTTTGTAAAAAATTGATCGAGTACTCCTCTACGAGTTGGCCTGAAAAACATCAACTTTCACCCGATTTGACTTTTTATTATCAATTTAGAAATGAGATTTCCATGAATGAAATTTCTTACTCAAGGGTACACGTATAATCATTCCACCCACACTGCAAAAACAAGTTTTGGATTTTATTCATTTAGGCCATCAGGGCATAACGAAATGCAGAGAGAGAGAGCAAAAGTGAGTGTTTGGTAGGTAGACCTTTCTACACAAATCGAAATTTTAGTAAAAAATTGTCCAAATTGCATTGAAGAGAGAATTAATATTAAAGAACCGTTTCAAAAAGATACAAATGTCGCGACTCGACCCTGGCAAAAAATTTGTGTTGATCTGTATAAATGTCACGAAGTTTGGTATTTAATAACAACAGATTATTATTCTTGCTTTTTTGAAATTAATACTCTTGGACAAAATATGACTTCACGAATAATAATTAGCAAAATGAAAGAGGTTTTTGCTCGCTATGGGATTGCTGAAGAGGTGCGAAGTGACAATGGTCCTCAATTTTCGGACGAATTTAAAGAGTTTGCCAATAAATATAATTTTAAACATATCACTTCGAGCCCTCGGTACCCACAATCCAATGGAAAAGTCGAGTCTACTGTCAAAATTGCAAGCCTTGCTTTCATACAGATGTACTCCTCTTGGAAATGTTTTACACCGATAGAACTTCTAATGTCAAGAAAGTTGCGCTCAACTTTACCGATGTTGCCAAGCAAATATGAAAAATTAATTGACACCCGATCATCCATTGAATTGGGGTAGGAAAGAAAGAGAAAAGAAAAATAAAATTATGATAAGAGACATAGAGTTAAGGAATTATCTGAACTCATTCCTGGTGATGGTGTCTGGATTACGGATCTAAAAAAATATGGGAAAATAATTAAAAAATTGGATGAACCGAGATTTTATTTGATCCAAACAGATCAAGGCGAATTTAGGCGAAATCGATGGCACCAGTCTCAAAACTTTAATAAAAAACCGGTCCAGGTACCAATGCCAGAAACATGTAAAAGTGATGCGGAAGTTTGTTTCATCGCAGCCCGAAAATGAAGCTAGTGCGGTGTCGGAAAGTAAAACAGAACAAAGTGCGTCCATAGAACAGTCCGTAGTAAATAGACGTTCATTGCTCCCAACAGAAAAAGCCCGCATGGCTAAAAGACTTTGTAATGTAATGTTATTTTATTTAAAAGGGGAGTTGCATCAGGGTTTTCGGTGGTCTGTGGTGTTCATATTCGATGGTCTTGAGAGGTTAGAATGTGGGACTCTCGGCCTGGTATCTCGCGCGCTTATGTCCGAACCTCATGACGCAGAATAAATAAAGGACTTGTAGTGGAGTTCTGTTTTATTACAAAAAGCCTCCAACACGACAACTCTATTCCAAATTGCATTTGGAGGTCCTTTGTGAATTTGGCCACTCCTCTGCTCCCCGTTCGAGTTCCATCCTGCTCCACGGCCAGAATCTTGTTTGCACTATTTTGCTAAACTTTTTCATAATATAGTAAAATGTCAAATAAACAACACCATAGATAAACAAGAATATTGGAAAGTAAATCTCGATATTAAACGTGCATGTAAAGAAGATAAAAATAATTATATGCAGCGAAGTGGAATCTCACGCCAGATCAAACCAACCGAAAGATATCTTCCGCAAAATAAAATATATAACCAGAGATTTCAAACCCAGAACGTGGTCATTAGAGCACTCAAACGGAAACCTTATAACCAACATCAAAGATATAACAGAGACATGGAGAGCCTACTGCGAAAACCTCTATGGGGATGAACGATACGTAGAGTCTTAACAAACGGAAGGATGGGAAGAAGAAATAGAAGCAGCCATTCCCAAATTAAAAAATAACAAAGCTCCAGGCCCTGACAGACTAACAGCAGAGATACTTAGAGCAACGGGCGAAATGAGAATAAACCTATTTCTTCACCTATGCAATCAAATATGGAAAACTGGACAATGGCCAAAAGACTGGATAAAAAATGAAATAACGATTCACAAAAAAGAAAAAAGGTAATGTCAAGATTTTTAACATATACAGCGAATACATTATTAGGAAATCGCTCGATGGTTGGATGGGAGGAGTCGCAATTAATGGCAGAAAAATTAACAATCTCCGATTTGCTGATGACACCGTCTTACTGGCAAACACTGCAGATGAATTGTTGGATCTCATTCATAGGATTGAAAAAGAGAGCGTGTATCTAGGTCTGGAACTCAACACTTCCAAAACAAAAATAATGATAATTGACCGAGCTAATAATAATAGATCGGATACGCAACAGATGTACAGGTTCGAGGTTGTTGATCAATACTTGTATTTGGGATCAATGTATTGTTGGAGGAAATTACTAAATATTTCATGGACACAACACTGGACTAATGACTCCATATTATATATTTACAACTAAAAGTCAAACAAAGATTATCTAGCCTGATACAATTGCGTGTCCTAAAATATTTTGGACATGTAATGAGAAGAGGTGTAGAGTGCTTAGAGAAAATAGTCATTCAGGGGAAAATCGAAGGAAAAAGAAACAGTGACCGCTCACCGACAAGATGGATCGACCAATTAACAAAACCTACGGGGATGACCATGCATACTCTCATCACCAAAGCCCAGGACCGTGAAGAGACTCTAGTGAACGACGTCGCATTAGCCGCTACATCCTTACAAGAGGATACAGACTGAAGAGAGAGAGAGTTGACTCCATACATTAATCTAGAATCTTATTACTTCTTCTGGGGACGGTCTGATATCTTTTCCATTTTTTTTGGCATTTAAATTTCTGTAGAATGCGTGTGGAGTTTTCCTGAAGAATGTATTTCATTTATGTCTTTTACACCGTTCATTATATCGCCGAACCTTGCACCCTAGAATCGCAATTTTTTGCTTGACTTTATTATTATTATTAATATGTTATATTATTTGCATTTTTACGCGTTTATCGTTGTGTGTTCTTTTGTTCAAAGAAGTCATAATTTTGAACTTTTTTTTTTATAGTTTTTAATGCATATTACCCACAATGACCCGCAAACCTCTCTCGGACGCTCCTCCACCACCGTTCCTCCGTTCTCCCGTTCTCCCGCAATCAATGGAAAGACCGCGTCGTCGCATAGGCCAGCTTCTCCCGTGAAATTCATCTCGATCCCGAGGTGTGTCGAATTTCCGGCAAACTTGCGTGGGCAATTTCGCGTTGTGTAACAAACCTTACCTTTCTTTGGATACTATATAAAACGGATTCCGTGGTAGTTTCTAGTGTTAAGGCGGCGATTTGCTTGGGAAAAACAGCGCGGGGAGGAAATGGAGCACTCGGTGAAGGTCATACGAGATGTAGGGTGCAAATCATTGCGAAAAATGCTAGTGAGGTACGTTTCGTTGTTAGGAAAGTGGATTGACGACGTGTCGTTTAGAGACAGCGAATTGGAAACTAATCGACGGACAGTGGACCGAATATTTCGCATATCATCTTTTGAAACTATATAAAATTTGTCAGGATTGTAAAAAATGACTCTCGGGTTAATGCAAAATGAAATAATAATAATTATAATAATAACAGGACTTTCAGGACTTACCAAAGTTTACAGGCGAAATCTAGTTAGTGATTACACCGGCCAATAATTTTTAAAGTTTTGAAAGTTGATTTCTATCTGACATTTGATTCTGTATAATTTAGCCCCCCTAAATTTACATCTGATAAGCATTTTCCCTATCACATAAGGTTTGTTACAAACATTAAAAGAATAAATGAAAATTTTTATTAGCACAAGAACAAAAACCGAATTAATAAATCTAAACAAATAAAACAAAGTCGCAGACAATAGTTAAGTCCATTTATTTTTGGAAGATCTCTCCCCCTTGACCGAAAAACTTCGTTTAGTGGATTTTCTTGCATATTGCAGCGTCCACTACAACCAATACCTCACTTGGGAAGTGAATCTCTCCGACGAACGTGTTGGTTGATACAGGAACGAAACTAGGACCTTATTGTAAGTTTTTACTGAATTGTGTTCCTTATAGTTGTGACTGCTGTTAGTTAAGAAGTGAAAATTTTAAATTGTTGGTGAAAATTTCATGAAGAAATTTAGAAATAGATTATCGGATATTACTTTTTCCCTATCACGTAAGGTTTGTTACAAACATTAAAAGAATAAATGAAAATTTCAGTTGATTTAAGCATTACTTTTATTAGCACAAGAACATCATTGCAATGTTTAGTCAACTTGATATCTGCGTTCCATTTTTCACGACACAAGATATTTGTTGTTTCCGAGAAAACCTCTTATAACATCTATAAATAAAACTCATACACCATTTCCAGATTCGATAATGGTATTCACAAAATCTTCAATTAATGGCCTTGTTTGAGGGCCTACAAAAATTCGTTCCATTAATTTTGCATCTGAGAGAGCGAGAAATTTTGCACGTAGGTATTTAAAACATACTCCAACTTTATTTAAAATTAACACACCTTACAAACAAAATTTTCCGCTCAAGGTTTGTCTTGGTCATCAATTTTTGACTTTAAAATAAGCGTGGAGCTATATGGCCACTTAGAGTCATGTGGGGCAAGAGTGCGCATTTTTTTTTTGTATGGTCATAAAATTGTAATAATTGTACAAAATAAATTGAAATAAAAGTATTTATTTAAAGGATTTATTGATTTAACAATTACGTAACATGAAATTCAATTTACTTAATTGTAATTAAAGAAATAAAATAAAATAAATGTGAGTCAGAATGCGCACACTTACCCCAATATTGGGGTAAACGTGCGCAGCACTGCGGGTAAGTGTGCGCATTTGTAATAATTTAAACCATAACTTGTTACATATAGTTACACCATATTTAATGTTATAAATATTATTTTTATCAATACTTATCATTTTTTACTTCATTTTTTATATTTATATATTAAATATATAATTTTTGACAAATACTGTTTAACTTGATTTTTATCGAGAATAAGGCTTAGAGTAGTTAACAGTTTTGATTAGAGATAAATTTAAATGAGATCGTTGTTAACGAATATGATAAAATCTTAATTATTAGAACATATATCACATATGAAAGCACCAGTTTCATAATGAGTGCACTGTTCATGCCACCAGCTATGACATAAGCTACATTTAATCCAATCCTCTGTAGGTGGATCAACGTATTTTTCACCACACAATGCACAGTAATCATCATTTTCCTTAAAATCATTAATATTTTCTTGACTAGCCTTAACTTTAACAGCCTTATCTTTGGTAGTAGTATTCTTCTTTGTTTTTTTTTTAGAATTTTCAGTTTTATTTGCACAAGCATTTTCTTGTTTCAATTCTAAACGTCGTTTCTTTTTAGCTATTTTTTCTTCTTCTTCCTGACTTTTTTTTTACAATTCTAATTTGAAAGGGCTATCGGTAGCGACAATAGATTTTTTACCTTTTGTACGTCTTGTTTGTTCTTTCGCTTTCAGAAACGGTTGGATTGATGACAAAGGTGTATATCAATTAGAACATGTATCTGCAGCTGGTTGAGGACCTGATGATGGAGTCACTACAACTAAAGCTAAATCTGTTACAGTGCTCACGTGTGATGAAGTTGGTAGTGGATACAATGTTGAAGACGTACTCGGTTGAAGTTCTGATACAGTTAAAGCATTAGAAGTACTTGGCAAAGACTCTGATGTAGAAAATGCAGTAGATCTAGTAGCTGTGATATTCTGTGAGCTACTTTTCTCAGATGATGTAGATGGAAGATTTATGTCAGTAACAGAAGCTGCTGCGAAATCTTCTTCTGAAAAAATTTCTATATCGATAGGCCATATCCCAGAAGTAGCATTATTAGCAGTTGCGACTTTTTTTAAAGCTTCATTAATTAGTTGAGCCACTTCTGTCTGCCCAATGACCCGTCCTGGGTTACTACTTAACCATTTGTCACACTCGTAAGCAAATTTCGTTTTCAATGGTCCAAAAAAATCAACGATCTAGAGGTTGCATTTTGTGGCTACTGTGTGGTGGAAGAGTAAGTAAATGAATACCATTTTCGCGACAAACGTTGACAGCAGCTAAAGAAAGATCACTACTGTGGTTATCTAATATCAATAACACTGGATTCTCTTTAGTGGGTTGCACTTTGTCTTTAAAGTGATGAAGGCTTAAACTTATACTTGTCTTGAAGACTCTGCAAGTTGTAAAACTGGCCTGGAAACGATTAAACCCCATTGCTCTAGCTATGCTAGTTGACGTGGGTTGTCGTAAATTCAAGTCAGGGTGCCTTTTTAAAAATCCATACACCCAATCACGTCCAGCCATTTTCGACTTTTGATTAAACCGATGAGGAATATGATTTATTTCAGCATACTAGTAGATCAATGTTCTTAGAGTTGTCATATTGAGACCATAATAGAGATCATCACATCTTTTTAAATAATTATATATTTCATTTTCTTGCTCACTTGTGAAAGTTGAAGTAAATCTTTCTAATTTTAGAGCAGTTGAATCAGATTTTAATCGCTTCCTAGTACTCTCTTTCATTCCAACCTATTCAGCTGCTTTTCTTTTACTTAAACCTTCGGCAATCAATCGCTCAGCAGCATGAAATTGATCACGGGTAACAACGGACCTGTGTGGAGCCTTCCGCTTGTAATTTCGAGGCATTGGAGTTTTTTTTTAAGAAATATATAAGTATAACCTGAAACAAATAACAACGAGTGTCAATACACAAAGAACTCACTATCAGGGTAAAAGTACGCATTAAAATATGCGGACTCTTACCCCACAACCGTATGCGTACACTTAACCCTAATCGCCTTTACAGATTTAGTTTAAAATTACACATTTTTGCGTCATTCTACCAAGTTTTGATGTATAGCTGATAAAATTAGATATATAAACGAGCATAATTGGACATAATTAATACTAATTACCGCTACATAAATATAAAAGTATTTGAATTCTAAATTGGAAAAAATCGTAAGAATAATAACCAAAATTTTTACTTACCAATATTACTAAAACTACGTAACTTTGCCAGACAAGACTCTAGTCTTTTGTCCAACGTCGTAGTGACTACTGAAGGCAGTTGATTCCCCTACTCTACTGTCAACGGTTTTATAAATAATAAGCTTGCGCACACTTACCCGCTGCGCACACTTGCCCCACATGACTCTATGATGAATATGTTAATAGAAGATAGTAATACGAGACATACGCTTATTCGGCTGCTTTAATAATATAAATACGCGCGCTAATCGTAGGATGAGACAGTCTTGAAGTCGCTTTGAAGTAGTAATTATTGTCTTACTTGTATTTTAAATAAAAAATGGTTTTTTAAAAATACGAGTTTCACATTTCGAAATAAAATTGGCGCAGTCGGTAGGATTGTTTTCAGCGTGTTTTTGGAAAACTCTCCGTTACAAGTAGTGTACCGGATCGCCGTCGCAAATCGATAGTGATTTGTGCGCTGGATTACCCTTGGGATTGTTAATGCATTGGATCGACGGTACGACACGCTTCCATTTCAACGGTTAAGAAAGGGACTCCAGATCTACTACGCGGAGCAGTTGGGACTCCTGGCACCATTGACTATATCGGTAGGCCGTTCGAGAGTCAGCGGGACGAATTGGTGTAATCCAGCGTCCACTACAACCAATACCCCACTTGGGAAGTGAATCTCTCCGACGAACGTGTTGGTTGATACAGGAACGAAACTAGGACCTTATTGTAAGTTTTTACTGAATTGTGTTCCTTAGAGTTGTGACTGCTGTTAGTTAAGAAGTGAAAATTTTAAATTGTTGGTGAAAATTTCATGAAGAAATTTAGAAATAGATTATCGGATATTACTTATCCTCGAAGAAATAATTCAACAAATAATCAACTGCGAGATATAGACGAACTTTACTCTAATATTTCTCTATTATATTGTATAGACGAAAATAATTCTACTTTTGTAAATACTAGTCTAGAAGTCGAAACTGCTAGTGCAATGGCCGACGCTTTGAGATCAACCGTTAGTTTGCTAAAAACCTTTGATGGTACCCCTTCTCGTTTGGATTCTTTTATTAAACAAATCGACAATTTTCACGAAAGATATTTTAACAACGATGTATTGCAACAGGAATATATTATTTTGGCAATTAAATCAAAAATACTAGGAACAGCCGAAGATTTTTTTATTAAATCGACCAGACCTTACAAGTTTAGTCGAGATAAGATTAGCTTTAACACAAAAATTCACTGATCTAATCTCTGCAAATCTTCAGCAACAATTAATATTTTTATCCAAGAAAAATGAATCTACTCAAGATTATATCCAAAAACTCAAAGCCTTAGTCACCAAAATTAATACAAAAATATGTTCCGAAATTCACAATGCCAAAGCG